TAAATTCCCACGTAAATGGAGAGCAAAAAAAAATGGGTGGCTCAAATTCGAAAGCCTCATAACCTCTATGAAACACAAGTAAAACAACCAAGAAGTATCTATAAATAAAAAAATACTTATTCCATGCCAGTAAAGAGTTCTTACAGCGTTAATTCCAGAGAGCTGTTGCAGAACTTGGATCAGCACTGCAATAATCACGGGTAATCGGAGATCTGGCTGCTTAAAAAGCTGCATAAACTTGAATTCGGGTGCATTTTTGGCGGCCGCCGCTTCCTCACGCATCTCCGCAAGAAACATATCCACGCCGTCGGGATTTAGGCGTGCACAGGCTTGCTTAGCAGCTTCCTCCTTGTTTTTGATGAGATGCAGGTAGCGCGGGCTCTCAGGGCACAAGGGCAGCAGGAAACAGCAGATGGCCGGTGGAATGGCTCCGACGCCAATGGCAAGCGGCCACAGTTTGGGTGTCTGGAAGGTGGCCTTGGTGGTAGTACCGTAGGAGAGGAGGATGCCCATCGTGACGGCCAGTTGATGGCAGGCCCCAATGAACCCGCGCAGATTGAGTGGAGCAATTTCTGTCAGGTAGAGGGAGGCCACACCAATGGTGATACCACTGTTGATACCGCTTACGAAACGACCCGCAAACAGCAGATAGGGTTGATTCATCTTTACGCACGGAGCACTTATTATTGCACCGGCTATAGCGATTAGGTGGTTCAACATTAAACTGTTCCGCCTAGGAAAGAAAAAGGGAACAGTAAAAACCCATAATACAACATCATGCGTCTGCTCTGAAACAGGCAAGCTCTGGTAGCAGGAATAAATCCTTTTCAAAGATATAAGTGGTTACTCAATCTGAACCGAGGGAGAGTTGAAGTAGGCGGGAAAATTTCTGTCGTTTACAGAAGGCCAGCCATATTATTGTAAGATTAAAATGTAAGCAGAGTAGTTTCATAAGCAGAAACCTTAGGACCGACGAGGTTGACAGTAAGCTTTGCTATCTATCAAAACCCGATCTCCCTCTCAGAAAGACACACATTTCTGTAGACTACTGTGATGACTTCACCTCTGTCGACACGCCAGGCATGAGATCGCGTGATCGCAAGTCTCGACTCGTTTCTGACACAGCCAATCACAAGTGCCGCAAACTCTAGTCTTTGGCCTCTGGACATGCGCACATGCAGGCCTACCCCAATCCAGTCTGGCCAATCATCTCCCTGGGACTGACTCACACAAAGGTTGTAGGCGTTTGTGACGAATCCGTGCTGCGACACTCTGGATGCTGCCCCGCTAGGGAGCGGACTGCATTCATCCCAGATTCGAATTCCGCCTGCGTATCCTCCACGTCTTTTTTACAGAATAACCTATTCCTTCCACCCAGGCCTCCCGCTTAAGCTCTTACAACAAGGAACGGCGCCTAGAGATTCTAGTGGCAGGGGTTTTCCCCAAAAGACCGCGATAGTACCGGCGTATGTTGCTTCAGAGTGCACTATAATTTTATGCCCACAGAATGGCTCGCGGGGAGTTAGAATGCACGCAGTAGTCACAGCAGTTTGGACAAAATAGTAATAATTTGTCTAAAGCTTCTCAGACCTCGATTTACGTTATTTAGCAAAGATAAGATCGCCAGAAATCTCCGAATGAAGAGAAAAAGCTTCTTAGTTGAAGGAACTATAGTGACCCCGTGGCGTTCCTGGGTTCAGCACCTGTGCTGACACGTTTTCTTCGCTGTCAAATGTTGCGCTGCCGCCCTCGTCCTTTGCCAACTAGTTGCAGGGCTGTACATGAATAATTGTACTTTCGCCCGCGTGGCCTTACGCGCACATTGTCGCCTCTCAAAGTCGGGCCCATGTCACAGGACTCGGCATGCGATCCTCATGATCCAATCCATGTGCGCCATTTTTTGATTGGCTACAGAACATATCCGGGATCCTGTAAGCCGCATGCACAGGCACAGAGCACACACGTATTAACTGGCTTGATAACTGTGAGCAGCTTGTTTCTGGAGAGCCTGTTTAGCTCTTTTCTTACAGTAAACTGTCCGACCTACCTGGTCTTATCTGACTACTGACACGGGTAACCTTCTATAGTCGAATGTCACTCTTTTCAACAAACACATTCCGCATGCAATGCTCAACTCTTGGCCTCTATGACGGGGCCCACATGTGGTCTGGTCGATCACTTTTCTGAGGCTGAGTCACACCAAGGCCTGTGACGACTCCGCACTCTCACATCTCGGATGACGCTCCCCTAGAACGGAAGCACACCTGTCCAAGTGTCATCTTCTTCCAATCTTATCTCCTCTCCTTCTGTATAGAATAAACTCAAGTCTTCTCCTTCTCCTTATTGCCGGAATCCGGGCCTGAATTGTTTTCCCTCTTAACCGAATCTCCTGGGATAGAAATTTTCGGTTTCCTTAAAAACGTCATTCGTCATGACAGAATAGTGATCTTTCTTGGCAATCATACTCCTGCTGTCCATCTTAAGATAAGGAGTTGACTGCCAAAGGCACTAAAGTAATATAGTATTTACATAATGCATACCTTTAAGTTAGTAGAGAGGCATTCCTAACCTGTAAAAATCCTCACAAAGCACCATTCTAAGCTTAATAGTTAGCACAAGTCACGTAGAATCAATCCATTGAAATTGCACCTTTACCATTGCGGTTTTTGACGATTTTTATGCCAGAATGTAATAGGGCTTCATGAAACCTAACAACGAGTTCCTGTAAATGTCAGTTGCAGTTGCATACAGTTGGATAACATCATTTTATGACTCATATTATTAGAAGGTCACCATTTTGTGCACTACATGAATCCATCCTTGTGCCAGGGTGCTTTCTGATATGATCGGGGCCCACGAATGCGAGTCCTTACTGGATACGGAAGGTATAACACCAAAGACAGGTCTAAGGTATCCTGTTAAGATTGCAGGTGTAGTTGTGATCGGTTGGAATGAGCATTGTGATCAAAGTAAGTGCAGCAGCTTTTTGCCGTAACGCACATTAATCCTGGGAATGCATGTAAATTAGAGCACAATGCTATAACCGGTTCTTACGGACTCAGTTACAAAGCCCTGTCTACGGATATCTAAACAGAGATTTTACAGATTGCGTATATTCCATTGCAACGATATTTTAGAGATTTCAACTGTTTGAAAGCATTCTGGCCAATCAGAGTGACTGATGCTTTTAATAGGTACTGATCTAACACCAGAACGAAACAGACTAACGTTCCCAGGTAGAAAATAAAGCCATGCAGAGAATGGTCACTTATCTAGAACATTCTTCCTATATGGAACCAGGCCTGAAAGTCGTAGCAGCTGCGGTTTCCCCTAGCAACTTACGCTACTAAAATTGCCACAAACCGATCGCAAGGTTAAGCCCGATTAAATCCGTCTGACAGCACGACGGACAGTGGCGTGTGCTTGTGTGAAGGGTTGACCGTAGCTGAAATGCCTTAAAAGATTTGCCATAAGCTACAGACAAAGAAAGAATTCCAGCATACACATGTTTTTTCGTCCCAATGAGCAGATTTGAAACTGATCTTTATGTCGGATATTGAAAAGGTGAATTACTTATTTCATCAAGCCTCATCAACATCCTACACTGTGGGAGAATCCGCTCCGCTAAATGTTAAGTGGTCAATTCTAAACAATACGAGAAACTAGTATTGATGTGCGCTGATCGCCAGCGAAGTTCTCATTTGTTGAATAAGAATGCCTGGCCCTTTTATCGGGGAGCACTAACAACTCATCCAGCTTTCCGACAACGAGGTAAAAATGAAGGACTAAGGGGTATAAATTAAAAAAAAACATGGCACGTCTCTCTGCTTACCTGCCCAGACAATCCGCTAGCGTTCCACAACTGAAGGCACCCATAGCTGCGGCGATTACAAACACACCAGACACTGCTCCGTAATAGATTTCCTTTTTGTTATCATCCAGATTCCACACCTCTTGCATGAAGGCTTTTATCAACTATCGAAAGAAAAAGACTGATGAGTAAACCAAACATGAGTAAATTCAATGAAGTCATGTAATCGACCGTTCAGTGGCCGATTACTTAAGTATGCTTTAACCACGCAGGTAGTGAGGATTCATGCTAGGGCTTTATTGGTAATTTTGGCCGAAGTGTTTACACTTAAAATCATCGAATGCTTTTCAGAACCAGAAGCAGGTACTAAGACACAATATCAAAACACCTTGAAACATCCTATCACTCAGGTGTGTAGTTTAGTTGCTCAAAGTTTTGCTCGGAAGAGGTATTTCGCCTTCGTGAACAAACATTGACTGGAATGGCCACTTCTGCCTTATTAACCGTCATCAGCCGGTCATACCCAAGCCCAATGGTGGCAATCCCCGATATCCGAGCCCGGGATATTTGGTTCTTGAGTGCAGCTTTCTAGCGTTGCACCACGGACTTGTCTTTTTTGTCGGTTGCGCTCGGAAATATGCTGAATGGTGGAGCGCTGACTGATCTGCTTACGAAATATGTTCATCCTGTTTTGCCTTGGATCTCAATCTAGAGCCCTCGCAGGCAGTCGTCACCGACAAAACCAACGAGCACCTGGTGCAATGGTAGAGTGCTGCATTCACTGACCAGAGGTCCCGAGTTCGACTCTCGGGAATCGCCACCCCTGATAGTGGGTATGATCAGTCGATGACGGCTAATAAGCCAGAAATGGCCGTTCCAATCTCTCTTATCTTTGTCGGTTCCACCTTATCAGTAAGCATAGTGCCTGTGAGAATAGTATCAGCACAAAGAA